CTGTTTGCGAGGTATTTATTGTAACCGTAAGGATTTTTTTTTATTATCTTACTCAGTAAAACGCGCCAGTACATCAACGAGGCGGAGGAAGTGGTCATCGAATACGAGTATGTGCAAAGAGTTCGTATTCCCGGCGCTCGACGAAATGCCGAAAACCTCAAAGCCGGCCCTGACGAACGGCAGCCCGCTACCGTCCCACGATTCGGCGTCTGCCAGTCTGTACTCTCCTGAGTACGAACTCTTTTTTGGGAGTTACGCCGCGGAGAATGCTCGAACGCCACTGTTCAAGAAGAAGATTTCCGTCGACCATTTCTTTTACATGGGCGACCACGCTTTAAAGGCCAGGGCGGAGGACGTCCCAGACCTCGTCCGGAAATAGGTAAGTAAAACGCATTGAAACAATTATGTGTTACCTACTGACCCTTTTTTTAACAGATTAGGCGGCCGGAGGGAATGCAACTCTTCCAATTGCATTTCGCCATGACGTTTGCGGTTGACGCTAATTCCGGGGGTCCAATTGTCTGCGACAGCGAAGACGACCTCCTCCGCTCCTACAGACTGTCGAAATTCCACCAGTGGTTGATAAAGAACTCTTTATGTGGCGGAACTCTCCCGGAAGGGGCTTCGCTGCCCAAAGCCATGGACGTTTATAATGTTTCGTACATCCAGATCTACGACGGTGCGGCGCACATTTCTAAGGCATGTATGTATGGTATTAATACGCGATTTACGATCGTTTTCGTGACGTCCGCAGGTGTGCGGAATTCGCATCCAAATGTCAGCGCCTATTTTCAGCGTACGCAACGGAGAGAGAGGCAACCTTGTCCAAGTGGCTCCGAGCCAGGAGAGAGCGCGCCCGCCACGCCAACTCAGTCAAGGAACTCGACGCGGAGATCCTGGAGTTGTAGAAGAGCAACCCCTGGATCGGGAACGTGAAGGGTTTGCTCCACAAGGGAGCGCAGGGGAATTATCACGACGCGGAGCAGGCGTTGGCGATTCTGACCACGCCGGTGATCTATGCCGAGTTGCGACAATTAGTGTACCGGAACCGCGTACCTACTTATACGATATGGGAACGATGCCGGGTGGCGAATGCGTGTGGACCACGCCGGACGCCTCTTGGAGCACGCGGAGGAATCGTGCAAGTTACGAGAAGCTACTAGATTTCGACGAGTTGCGACGGGCGGCCATTTCGGCGACCGCGCTTCAATTTTTCTTGAGCGGGTCCACTTTGTCAGTGGGATACGGATATGCGGCACTGAAGAAATGCCTTATGGGCGGTACCATTAGTAGAAGCGCGGGAGCGACCAACGACGACGACGGTACCACGACGAGGTAACATCGACATAAGGTCTTCGTCGCAGGCCGTTGGATACATCGACCTATTCGACCATGATCTGACGGAGACGTCGCGAACGTTTGCCTCATTATAGAGGCGTGCGTCAGAAAAAATGACGGTATATATATATATAATAATGATGGCATATTTATAACATCTTAGCATTTTTATAAGCCATTTTTAGGCTACCGATTGATTATTATGATTTAGTATAATATCTTCTCCGGAGTTTTGTATAATTTTGTGGATGTCACCGCCGCCGCTGTTGCCACGCCTATTTTTACCCTGGCGTACTACCGGCCCCGTGCCGGGAACAGCACCATTGCCGCGGTGAGGTCGGCTCTCACGTCGCCTCCCACGGCAGCGGACCAGTTCATCAGGGCAACCTTACGAGGGGCGCTCGGGAGTTTTATGGCGACGTGGTTAAATTAAATAGCATCGAGATTTTCCCTCTTTATTTAGTCAACGGCGTCGCTAACTGTCGATTGTGATGGGCGAAGGCGAAGGAAAGAAGCCCCACGGCCATTACGAGAAGCGGCCTTACATAATCCTGACTGTAAGTACCTTTACCTCCCTATTCACGTCAGCTTGTGTAATATTTCTTTTTTTTCCATGTTTATCGTAATAGGATATTTACGTATGCTGGGACGTGGCTTCATTTAATTATTTTTGCAGGTGCCGCCAATTCGGAAATGCGAAGACCGCGGGATCGGTCGGCGGTACCGCAGAGACTGGCAAAGGTCGCCAAGGTAAAGCCGCCGTCGATTTCAGCGACGCCTCCCCCTCCTTCGACGTCGTCTCGTTCGCGATACACTGAGGCGAACGAGCGGACTATAGTGCGGGCGGCACTTCGCATGCCGGAGCAGATTACGAAAGGGAAGCCGGGCTGGTTAAAGATTCGATCGACGGCCGCGGAATTGACGCACTTCCCTCCGTTGGGGTTACGCAGCGTGATGGTGAAAAAATTTAAAAAAGAACTATTGTGATGGCGTAGAGCTGGACATTTTAATGCGCCACTGAAGAGTCCTCCGAAAATAGAAATATATTTTACTCATATTTTAGTGTAACTAGTAAGGTCCGTTTAATGGCGCAACCACATACTTTTTTAGTTTTAAGTATGCAATTTTTTCGTGCATCTCTCTAGGTCCAAAGCTATGAACTCGGTAGGTGAGCCGCTTCGTGGTAGCTACTCTTGGAGCGGGAATAGCGACTTTTCGATCTGCAGCGCCAGACAGAACTAAATCGTCCCTGGCGCCCTTATTGTTTCCATCCATCAGAACCCACCCTTTCAAGACTAAGCTAGTCAACCCCTTTTCAGTGATTTCAGAGTTACAACACCCTTTACTTGGTCATTTAATATCAACGTCAGATCAAGTATACATCAAAGAAAAAGAAGGCAAATTTCATCCGAAAAGCTCTATCGCAGGAAGTTAATGAGGTGGAAGAAGAACCAGCTTTTCCTCCATTTAAAGCGAATTGTTATTATCATATACGATCACCTTGTTATTGTGCTTTATCTAATGTATATTACATTTATGACACCTATGTAATGCAGTTTTTTTAATAAACCAAAAATTTTATTTTACAAGCATATTTTAATATGATTACATAATTTGCTTTTACTCATTTGGGATGTAAACTTTCCAGTAATTCTACCCCCAGTCGATCCCATACAGAAATTGATTTCTGTACTAATAGAATTGAACAAATTTTGAGATTTCTACATTTGTACAATAATTGTTAAAAACTTCATCCCAGAACAAAATATTTCATGTGAAGAAAGTATGGTGAATTATAGAATGCATAAATCAAATCTGGCAAACCCATACAATTTGGGTATAAGTTATGGTAGTACTGTTTGCTACAGTCATTTAACAGAATCTACGTAGTTAGAACAGACAAGTGGTACTCCGACGTAGATGACCGACATCTTTGACCGGCGGACTGAGGTTATGACGATGATGGAAGACGCGAATTCGGAGATTGAAATCCCTGACGGGTTCTACTCACTTGAGCGGGAGGAGTAAATTGTATTTATTTTGCCTTACGACGTATGAGGATCAGACCTCCTAGGGACACCACGTTAAAAAACGCGCCATTAACTCTACCTATAACAACACCTTTAACAAAAAAAGTTAGTAGTTGAGGACGAATAATAAACCCGGCATCATTCGTGTTAAGTTACACATCTTCATATACAACCATCGGCAACTAAAACCTCAACAGGTCAGCAACCTCTCCCAAAACTACCCCTGACGTTACTTGCTCCTCTTCTCTTACTCCTTCTTATCTTTTCCTCTTATCTTATCTACCTGTAATCTCTCTTCCTCAGTTACGCATTCATCTTTTAATCATTCACCTCACACATACCATGTTTAATTAATTATAATTTGTGTAAAACTAATATTTGACAGTTACTTGTGTAGTTCAAGTAAAAACTGTCGGTGCAATACAACTACCGCTTCACGGTGACCTTCATTTTAACTATTTTAAATTTTGTAAGACCAAAACAAGAGTTACCTCTAACTGAATAACTGTTGTCTGTTTGCAGCACTATAATTGCAAGTCTCGGACGAAAGATCTTTCCACGGCAACCTGCAACCCTTAACTTTGCAATCAATAACATTGACCGGTATATGTCAACTGGCACTAAACCTTGTTTTATTATTCTTGTTGCCGTCAGGTATAATTTTGTGTGTGTATAATTCCCGCACCACCTAATTTTTTTGTCCCGTGAAATACAAAACCACCAATGTTATCACTACCCCAGAACTTTATTTACTGTACTAAATAAATAAATATTTGCACCTTCTTTATCTCTCCTACTTTTTTTTCCTTTGTATTTAGTGTTCCTGAGTCTGACTTCAGCCAGTTTCGTCTGCTTTGGAAGCGGAAGCAGAACCATCTACGATCTGTTTGTTATCTGATATACAGCTTCTGGCGCCTGGGATTTTTACACTCTTTTAGTTTGACCTCGACCTACACCAACGAGCGGCCGGCAACAGATCTGTTGATCACCGCTGTGACCAGGCTACGTTTTGTCCAGATCTTTCTTTGTGTTCGTTTTGTTTTTCTTTCAGCGTGTCCAACGGATGCGGAGCGGTGACAAATTTGGCGCCCACCGTGGGGCCCGAATTGAATGTAAATTAAACCTTGAGATGTCTGCTTTCAAATTTCAAACAAGAAGTTCCGTTACCGTATATTGAGACCGTAGTTCAAGCTACCGTTGCCAGATACCGAGCCACAATTGAATAGCGTTCCCATGAAAAACAATAGGTTTATTATTCAACAATGTATTCATTCTTCGATGTCAGCAATTATAATAATAGTAGTCTGTATAGAGAGGAAATGGTGGATAGATTTAGTTTTTGCCGAGTTAGCTTTTTAGAGTTCACACAGGTTCATTTTTGTCTTTTACTTTGCTTTGGGTGATCAGTCAGGGTGGTCCTCCATAGAACAGAAAGATAATGTACTTAGTGGTAATTGATTTATATTGTAGATTATGTTGCCTTCAGCTATTTGTAATGCAGGGTAAAGTGATTCTTGAATTTGGTGTAATTTGCTTTCAATGTAAAAGTGTTTCCTATTTTGATTTGTTGAAGAGTGGCCAGTTATCAATTTTCATTTGTTTGTTTTGAACCCATTTGGATTGATTAGCGACTTCAATTCTTTGTGTACGAATCAGCCTTTTTTGAGTGTAATTAACCGTTTCGCCCTTGCAGAGGTATATGCCGGAGTGATAAAGATACTTAGCGGCATGTATCTCGAACGACAACTTTAGTCTAAGGTTACCGTATCCAGGATCTTAGATACCTGCTAGATTGGAGGAGGTCTGGCTAATTAATGATGTTTATTTTGTGCACTTTATGTAAGAGACTTCGGCGGCGTGTGTGTTTAGCGTTATCCAATGTTACCTCTCATTCTCCAGATTTGTCGACTTGGGTACATCACAACCTATTGACTGGAGAAAATATAGAAAATTAACGGTTACAGTATTTATTGTTTTATGTAGAATTAACAATTGGTACCAAGTTATGCAGCATTGAAACATCTCATCCTACAATTCACCACTCAAACCACAAGATTTCTGTTTACGTAGATCATATTTTTCTACAATTGACGTCCATGGAGTCTGGAGCTCTCCCTTTTCAGCCGAGCGAAATCGATACCCTGCAGAGCATCGCTTCGAAAAGGCTACTCCGCGAAAAAGTGCCGTTCGCAGCTCTTCCGAAACGGCTCAAAAGCTCCCTGCGAGCATTGAAAGAGGCGCAAAGGCGTTTTATTGCTGACATACGGCAAATGCGTTTAACTGTTCCAATGACCAACTTTGAACCAGTGTGTGCTTCCGCCCGTTTAACGATAAATGAGTGTTCCACCGTGGTGAACGAGATGTTAGTGCGCTGTACGACCCATATAACAATATTTTTTAATTGTTTTTCTCCATAGTGTAGTGTAAATAGTTCGTGTAATTATTTAGTTTTAAGTTGTAAATACGTCCGTGGACTAGGCCTCCTGGGGAAACCACGATAAAAAAAAACGCGCCATTAACTCTACCTCCTGGGTGGTGCGGAAACGGGTTTGTATTGTATATTTTAAATTGTAATTTTCGAGTGTGCTTGTAATGTTTTTTTTCATTTATTTCTACATGCTGCACATTTGATAATAAATATAATTAGAACTTGTTTTGCTCATTTCTAATTTCTATTTAAGAATAGCGAGGTGAGAAAAGATAGACGCAATGAGTAAGAGAGAGATAGTGCAGGTGTATGACGTCATACAATATTTTTAAATTGCACTTCTTATTTTTGAATTTCCCGCCATCCGCAATTTTGTTGTAGAATAAAGGGTAATTACTCATTACATACGTGTAATTATTTTTATTATTCGGCGAATTAATCAAAACCGCGAATTAAATTAATTAAGCCGCGAATCAAATTAATCAACGGAAATTCCCAGACACCAAACAGCCAATTAAATTAATCGACCCGCAGATTAAATTAATTAAACAGTAATCAATTTAATTGATGACGTCATCAATTAAATCAAATGCCAATAAAGCTCAAAATCACATCAATTTTTAATGAATTAAGTCCAAATTCCAAGAAATTAATCAAATTTCACAGAAATAATCAAATAAATCCCAAAAATACCCTCGCCCACGTGGACGAAGTCGCGAATCAAATATGGAATTTCAACAATAGACTGAAGGGTTCTTCAGGAGTGTTGTAGGGACCGAGCCGAGGGAAAAGTTCCGGCAACTCGTGAGCCGCTGCGCTGGTTCGATGACGTAAAGAAGAATGTTTTTGGAGTGTCGCCCCTGGCAGCTCTATGTTACTAGGCGGCATTCTTCGATGACATCCCCGAGTTAATCTACCCACGATCCAACAGCGGCCCGAACGAACATCGAATTCGCCAGATAATGAGGATAATGTTTGGCGAACTCTCTTCCCGATCTCTGACGATTCGGTCAGAGACTACCAGCAGCGGCTGCGACACAGACAGCAATTTCGGTTGATGTTTCGCGAGTGCCAGTCGTTGGAATACTCCGATCGAATCTTCCGGAAAGGAAAATCGTGTAATTATTTTACATGTAGGATCCGAAAACGGTCTCGTAGATGATGGACTGCTCCTTTTTGAAGGAAAGAAAACCGCTGATTACCATAAAGAGCTGAATGCGGCTATCTTTTAAGCATTATTGATTAAAATTTATCAAAATTTTGATGGACAATCGTGTGTAGATCGGACGGTCTAATGGATACACTTATAGAACCGTTAATTGTTTCACTCGGATCGGAGGACAGCAACCGTTTTAGTGAACTGTGCCGTTTAATAATACGAGTATAGTTAATTCCGTTGTTCCGAATTTGCTCAATAGCTTAATGTTTTGTAACAGTTTTAAATTGAGGATAACATTTTTCGTATATACTTCAATTTCCACCTGTATATTTTTTCTAAATTATCTCGAGTCGTTGAATGCGACCAATTTCTAGTTACTTTTGCATTTCTGCGTTTGTCCCTCTCCGATGTAATTAGTTTATTGTCGTTAGAGGACATTTTATTGTTTTGATTGGTGTTCATCATTAGAAATTACCTTATATGGTCATGTATCAAATACGGCTCTACTATTCGTCAAAGATAATAATCCGTAGCTTCACTTGGAAAAATCTCCGAAAGAAGAGGCGTCTTAAATCACTTGCATAGAGAAGCGGTCGCGAAAACTTCCCGAGTTTGTGTGCTTATTTTAGTTTCCCGTTGTCGTCTTGATGTTATAATTGGCGAAAGCATCTTTACTCAATCGACTAATTATATTGAACCGACCACTTGTTGTTATTTGTCAGGGAAATTTCATCCGCAAAGGAATTTTGATAAGGAATTAAGCCATTCAAATTCGTAAGTTATTGTAGGGGAACACGTACCGACCATATGAGCCGATTCGAATGATCGTTGGGATGTATCCAGTTTTGTTTTGATTTGTGTTACTCTCTCGGATTAGGAGATTGCTTTTTAGAGTTCACGTAACACCCCCACATCCGAATATCAGTTCACGTATCAATTTCACCATCCTCGATAGGGTAGATGCTCCTGTTGTGGCCATGGCACCAATTGTGGCCAACCGCGAAATGTATCTTAAATATTAACGGCCCCGTTCAAATTAACCAATAGAATTAAATGAAGTTTGAATGTTTATTGTATTCTGGATGACGCCTGCGCATTTGATTCGATTTGTCAGTTATAATATGGTCTAGCCAGTCTATTTTCTCACGTGAAACGGGTGTGTTGTGCATTGCTTAGACGTTTTGTTAAGGAACTCGTGGTAAGTAAATGTTTCATTCTGTGTACAAATATAAGTATTGACATACGAGGTAGCTGATATTAGATTTACAAAGGACTTTCCCACGTTATTTCAAGACTTTTGGTTAGATATTTAACCTACAAATGGTTAAATTAATGGTGGTCACAACTGGAGCATCAAACATGCCTTCTGCGCCAGTTGTGGTCTTTTGGTGGCCACAATTGGGGGATGAAAACCAGTTGTGGCCACGTATTAGAAAAGGATGGAAAAATGCAAAACTGATGTATTGAAAAAGGATTGAGAACTTAAAAAAATCAATATATTACAGAATATTGTTATACAAACAGCATCAGAAAAAAGTGATAATTCTATGAAGACATCCAACAATGATAAAGACTCGGATAAAGATGTAAAGCTCTTTAAAAAACGGACAGTTAGTGGTGTTCTTCAAGATTTAAAAACATGGCCCGATGATTCTCCAGGAAATTCAAAAAGAAATAGGATCCCCCTTCCTTCAGTGGTCACCTCGGATAAATGGATTGAAATTTTTGAAGCAAAAGAAAAATCTAAAGAAAATTTAGCTGCCGAGAAGGCTGCAAAAAGAAAGAGTAAGACTGACGCAATGAACAAAAGAAGAAATCTAAAAAAAAAGAAGAAAGTGCCTAATAATCAAAGAGGCAATGAAAACAATAAAAAACTTTTAGAGTGTAGTACGACAGAAGTAAAAACAATTTTAGATGGAAATGATGCCAAAGATGGTGAACTTATAAAAGAAACCAAGGAGAGTATTGAAGACAAAAGTGAACAGAAACAGACCAAAGATTCTAATGCAAATACTGTGATAGAACAAAAGACTTGTGAAGAAGAAAATAATGTGATTACCTTAGATGTAGGAAGCTATGTGATTGTCAAATATGAAGGTGAACTATATCCAGCAAAGATTTTAAACAAAGAAAACAATGAATGTTATTGTTGTGCGATGAAAAGAAGTGGTGTTAAACATTGGAAATGGCCTGATTCACCAGATCTCTTGTGGTACAAGGAGCAAGATTTAGTTTTGAAAATCAATGAACCTAAACCAATAAATACCAGAGGGATATGTGCTGTTCCTGAAATGGATTCTTTATCATAATTTTTATGTAACTCTCTAAGTATATATTTTTTTTTGTTCTAAAGTTTATGTTTTAAAATTTGCCTAAGAATATTTTTTTAATTTAATTTTTAATAAATAAGTACACCTTGTTCATTATTGCACTTATTTAGTACCTAGGTATTTGTTTTGTATTTCTACATGATGGCCACAACCGGTGCGGTCTCTGGCCACAACTAGTGAATAGGTGGCCACAACTAGCAAAACTGTTCTTTTCCGATATTTTATTAAATATGACATTATTTGATCAATATACTTCAATATATGCATTCATTTTTTAGACAAAAATATCTATTGGTGTTATGTCTGCCGTTTGAATGTACAAAATTCTCTCAATAGATGAATTTAAGATAAATAAAGTTAAAAATTTTCTTAAAGTGCCCACAACCGGTGCATCTACCCTATACCTTTGGGTTAATTCCATCAGAATCCGGAGACCTAAACGTTATACTGCCGATCAGTGCTGTTCACATCCAGTAAATTGTTATCATCTTAAGGGCAGCCAAAGGTACAGCGTAGGAGGAAATTTAACCGGAACACCAAACTTTGATACATGTGAAGATTTGCCGATACCACCGGGAACAACCTGCAGAACTTACGACACGCATTATCAGGAGCGGTGACGTACCTTTTGTATTATTATTATTTTTCTTATTGTCTCAAAACTTAAATTTATGTACTTATGTATCTGACCCACATATGTAAGTGGAAAAATGACTCATAATTAGTATGCTTGAACTTTAGGACCATTTTAAACTTTCAATTTAGAATTACTGTTGCAAGGTAATCATTCTGTAAGGTAAAGAGCTCGTTACCAAATTAATATTCAACACCTCAGGCTGCAAATTATTGGTATCTCATAGTCAACTTTTAATTTTCATTTGTTTGTAATTGTTATTGCAACGTGGTACAAGGTGTCACAGGGTTTCAGGGGATTTAATTTATTTTAGAATGTTTTGTGTGTTTTCTCAGTTCATGACGAGATTTTATTTTTATTTGGCATACTTTCAACTAATAAATACTCATTTGTCTTGTGGGTCAATTTGTTGACTCTTTACATGCTGCAATTACTCTTCCTAATTCCAGTAAATGCAGACAAAATACCTAGGAGTGGGTGGCGCCCGGAAAATTTCAATATCGAAGCACGAAAGTAAGTATAGGTGGCTGGGATTTGACTGGAACATTTTCTATGAGCAGTGGTGATCACAATCTTGTAATTCACTTACCTACTACCCTGAGTAAGAACATCTCTCTACGCTGTTACATTTTTGGCTAACAGAGCTAGCTCGCCGATCAGCGGCGTGTGTGTTTCGCACATGGTAAAATATTATAGTGCTCTGCCTTCACAGCTTGCACGTTATAGTTTGTTGTAAATTGCAATGCGGTTTGTGTAGTATTACAACCGAAAAAACATTTTAAAACTACAATTCATAATAATGTTTCAAAGCTTTCGAAAAATGTATGCAGTATTATTACTAAAGCTGTGAATATATGCAAAATGCATATCGTGTATTTTTGGTTGTACTCGTACCAGATTTTGTACATTTTCGATTTGCAACATTTTGAAGCGATTAAACCCAATTTATTTTTGCATATCTTGCATATTTTAATATTTTTTGCATTTACAGTATAAACTTGCATATTTTAAGATGCATGTTAATTTTTAGGTAATTTTACACCTTTGTGCTGATTTTAATCGATTTTCATTTGAATTTTTACTACGTTTATGCGGATTTTCATAACGGGCGCGATAATGAAACAAACTGCAATCGGGGGAAAGAAGATCTATACCTACACTTGGTACCTATACCCTTTAATTTTACAATAGGATTAAGTAAAGTCCAAAAAAAACAAGATATTAGTCATCTACCTATAGAAACTTAATGTTGGTCCTCAACAACTTGTTTACGTACCTAAGTAGGTACCTAACTCTAAAGCTGCGTCCAGATTACGCGCGCCGAACTGCGCAAAACGTTTGCGAGCGTTGCAGCAACATGTAATGTGGACGGGTATATGCGCACGAACGCGCCACTGCGTGCATGCACGAATTTGTTCGGGCAAGTGTCGGTACATCAAAGAAATTCGGCTAAGCGCGCGTTTAAAGTTAAGTGAAGTTTGGACGTAGTTGTGCGCATTCCTGCAACACAATGAGTGAAATTGAATGGAGTCGGGAGAAAACACTGCAATTAATTAACATGTATGAAACAAAATCAGAATTGTGGGACGTGAAAAACAGTAATTACCATTTACGAAATAAAAAACATGATGCTTGGAAGAACATAGCAACAGAAATGGAAAGCGACGTTGAAGTAATAAAGGCGAAAGTAGCATCGTTGCTGTCATCGATGAGAAGAGAAAAGGCCAAAATGAAGAATTCTACAGGCACGGGGAAAGGTAGTATTTTGATTTTCTTTTGATGTCCATTTTAGCTAATTGTGTATACATATGCAGGTAGAAACGAAATATATATAAGCAAATGGTTTGCTTTCGAAGCCTTTAAATTTTTGTGGGATAAGGACAGTGTAAAGGGCTCAATAAATACAGAAACGGTAAGTTCAGATTATATTTATTTCCAGCCTACTTACATAGTAGCATTTACCTAAGCATATTTATCTTGAAATGATACAGCACCATTCGACGAAAAATACTCCGCTAGTTCGTTCCGAATTTGTTGTGCATTTAGAGGAGATTTTCGCGGTAGTCTTCTGATAGGCAAGAATGAATTTTCAGGATTACCGTCACGTCGCCATGTTCCTTCTATTAATAAACCATCCTCTTCGCTATCAAATGTTCCAGGCGGAGTATATATTTGATTTGAGTTTCCGCTTCTTAAAAAATTATGCAAGTAAAGAGTGGTTAAAACAACAAGCCGTGCCTTCTCAGGCTCCAGTAATAGTGGTTTTCTCAAAACCCTAAAAACAGCGGACAATATGCCAAACGCGTTTTCGACAATTCTTCGTGCTCGTGACAAGCGATAATTGAAAATTCTTTCTGGTGTACCTTTGTCATGTAAACCTGAATAAGGCTTCATAATGTTGTCATGCAAGGCAAAAGCATCGTCAGCAACAAACACATAAGGAATCCGTTTCTGTCGGCCAGGAAGAATCCGTGGTTCCGGAATGGGAAGTTCTCTCTTTTCGATTTTTCTCCATAATAAACTATTTTTAAAAATTCCCCCATCCGAAATGCGACCCTGACCACCAACGTCACAAAAAAGAAAATTGTATTGACCATCTACCAAAGCAAGTAGTACTATACTGTGAAATGATTTATAGTTGTAATATTCGCTTCCACTCTGTATGGGTGCTTGTAACATAATATGTTTCCCATCTAACGCCGCTAGGCAATGAGGGAAATGCCACACGTCTTCGAAAATTTTGGAAGTTTGTGTCCACTCTTCTATAGTAGATGGCATCTGAAAATGTGAAATACACTGTAAATTCAGTACTATGGTCTATGAGTACACAAGCAGTGAAATCCATAAAAATTGCACTACCTATACTATTCTACACACGCCATTTAATAAAATATTTTTCTAGGACGAAGAAAGCACTACTGATGAAACTTTCAACAATTCAGAATCGCAATGTGTAGACAGAGAACCTCAATCAGTTGTAGCAAATGATGAAATCGAATCGGGTAGTGTAGTTTCCGTTGGGACAAGTCCTCAAATCCCAACAGCAAAACGTAAAATTTTTGTATCTCCCAAGAAAATACTTCCGAAACGAAAATGTGTACAAGAAGATCCTAAAGTGTCTGCTGCATACGATCTGCTTAAGAAGGTCTCAACCACTCCAAAAGACGAGTGTCATACTTTTGGTCAATACATAACAACACAGCTACAAAAAATGGATGAACGCACCCGAGCTGTTACAATACACAAGATTAATAACGTTATATTTGACGCTGTAATTGGAAGATACGATAATGGTAGTGGATCCAATACAAGATCCTCGGCATCTACACCTTCCTCTTCACATAGTTCCGGAAATATTGGGGCCGCCGATCACCTTTTATTCAATGAACAGTATCAGGATCCATTTTCCCAAGACACCCCTCAACCAAGTCCAAACTCACAATCTCAGGATTCATGGGGTGCTGTACAACATTATTACAATACATTCGCGCCTTAAGCAGTGATTACAAATATTCTCGTTTACAAATTTTGTTGTGATGCACACACACACACACCTTTTATGGATAACACTACGAATAAATGCAATATTTCTTACCTTTACGTAGTCTTTCAATGCGTCACACAAAGCTTGGCACACTTCAGTCACTATGGTAGATATGCTCTGTTTAGAAATTTTGAACAGGTACATCAAACTTGTGTATGAATCCCCAGTTGCCAGGAATCGTAGAGTAACTGCCAGTCTCTCTTTAACAGGAATGGGTTGTCTGAATGTAGTTTCTTGCTTCGCTATTTTATGCCCAATTAGATGTATCAGATATTCAAAATCTTCACAAGATATACGGCAAAAATTTTTGAACTGTCCAGTGCGTGACAATGATAAATCGTTCAACAGGTTGCTGCCACTATAAATATTGCGACTTTTAAATAAATTCGTCATCCAATAGCGTCTTCTCTTGCGTTGCTTTTTCTTTATAGCGTCGCAAAGAATAATAAAAGCTGCTGCAGAGATTTGCACATCATCATCCATGGTCACTCAAAAATATTCACCCGTTCAATTGGGAACCCTAGCAAACATAGCCAAGCACACACACAAACCAGA